GAGAGAGAGAGAGAGAGAGAGGGAGGGAGGGAGGGAGGGAGAGATACACAATTCTTTTGGACACATTTTATGTTTATCAAATTGAATGCCCTTAAAGTAAAAGAAGGAAGAGACCAAATGCCCCCTTGGTCCCCCCAGGAAAATAAGGAAGAGGAGAAAATTTGTGGGCTTTTCCAGGAAATTGCATCATCAGCCAAATGTGCTCGGTCATTTGAACAGCTAGAAGAACAGCCACTGGGCAGGAATCTTCTCAGCAAGTAAACAACTCTTAACACGCAGCCTGGGAACGGGAGCTTTATTTATAAAATGCTTCCAGGGTTTCAGTCATATGTGATTGAGGGCAAACAAGATGCAGGAGGCTCCCACCCACTCAGAGGTATGCTTTCCCTACCACGGGGATACGGATGCCAAAATAATAATGATGATTATCTAAACTGCAACGAACCGTAAGCATCCATGGGAACCAAATCGGGGCTGCTTGCGCAATGCTGCACGCATTCCTTGGGTGCAAGGCAGGACAGCTACAGGAGCTGAAGAGAAGCTCCCAAATCCTTCAGATGTGCAATGAAGGCTTGCTAGCCAAGGGGAAGAGTAAACTGGGGCCGGATCTCCTTGAAGGATTTTCAAACGCGAAAGATCTGGGGCAGGAGGAACCATGTTTTGAGGCAACCGTTCTGGGGAGTCACCTCAAAGTGGTTATGTCTTCAGTAGCTTCCGCTAAAATGATCAGAGCAGGGCTCAGAAAGTTTGCTTGAAGCCCCCTAAAAGAGGTAGACAGAGGATGCGCAGAAGGCATATTTAATCACCAACATTTTTTAAAATTATAAGCGGCCTAGAGCAGTGATGATGGCAAACCTGTTCTTCACCAAGTGCGCAAACTGGAACATGTGTGCATGTGCGCACTGGAGAGCAAGAAACCTGAAGATCCGATGGCCGGTGCACGCATGCCTGTTTTGGGGGCTGTTTTCAGGCCAAAAATGGCCCGGACAACGGCCCAGAAAACAGCCTGTGTTTTGGGGGCCATTTTCTGCCGCTCCAGTGCCCACAAAGACCAGCTGGCTAGCGTGCATGTGCACACCAGAAGTCAGAAGAGCAGCTGGTGACGGCGCATGTGCCCACAGAGAGGGCTTTGAGTGGCTCCCCTGGCACCTGTCCCATAGGTTTGCCATCAGGGGCCTAGAGTCATTGATTGAGGTGGGCGGCTAAACTGAAGATGGATGGATGGATGGATGGATAATAGGCAGACAGATAGATAATCTTCCCAAAGCACCAGAAGGCAAGACAAGAAACAATGGATGGAAACTAATCAAGGAGAGAAGCAATCTGGAATTCAGGAGGATTTCCCAACAGTGAGGACAATCAACCAATGGAACAGTTTGTGCCTCCAGAAGTTGTGGATGCTCCATCACTGGAGACTTTTAAGAAGAGACTGGACAGCCACTTGTCTGAAATGGTATTGGGTCTCCTGCTTGAGCAGAGGGTTGGACTAGAAGACCTCCAAGGTCCCACCCAACTCTGTTATTCTGTTTTTTTAATTTATCTCACCTGGAATCTCCCAAAATGTTATTGGTGCCTATAATTTATTTTACTCCTGCATTTGAATCATGTCGATGCCAGATGGTTTTATTGCTGATTGTGTCAGCTAATTGCTCTTATAGAAAATTTTGTCCAGGGCTCCTTTCAGTGGTACAAAAATAAATTAAGCTGATTTATCTTCATTTCGTTCTGGGGATCTGAAGGACTGGGAGTACTCCATGGACTCCCATATTTATAGCTACTGCTAATGCTTTTGAGGGCCACATATGATATTTTTTCTTCATAGCCCAAGGATTGCAACATCAAAGGGTTTTAATTTCATGTTGACCTCAATCCTCTGCCAAGATAGCTACTCATATATGCAGAGAACCGAAGTCTGGCTGAACAGGCCAGGTGCCCCACTGTGATTTAGAGTCTAAGGCCATGTTTCTCAAGTTTTAAGATGTGTGAACTTCAACTTCTAGAATTCCCTAGCCAGCATTTGTTGAAGTTCACACATTTCAAAGTTGCTAAGGTTGAGAAACACTAGTCTACAATAACGGAGTAAACAACTCTAGGTCTAAATCAACTCCTGATGCTCTCTTCTTCAGAGCTGAAGAAGCTTCTTGGATGAGAAGCGAAACATCTTCAAGGGGAAAAAAACGAAGTCCAGTTGCTTTTGAAAAAAGGCACAGTTGGATCATTGAATAGAAAATAATAATAATCGTCCAATCCTTTCGTTCATGCAGGGTTTCTTTCTTTAATAGCTTTCTACTTTGATTAATCCCAAGGTCTTTCCCACAGTGCAGTTTAGAAAATAAGTGTGCTAGGCTATGAAAACTGTAAAAATCTATTTTATGTATATATTATTTATATGTATATATACACAAGTCAGGAAACAATGGATGGAAACTAAGGGTGGGTTGCTGCGGCATTACTGCCAGTTCGGTGCATGTGCAAGTTTGCATGCACACCTGCTTTGCTTACACGTGTGCATAATTGCCCATAAATAGGTCTACACATGCGCAGAACATTAAAAAATGGAAAAAATGCCACGCTGACCAAGGAACTGGTTGAAAGGCATGGCAGGCCTGGGTCGCTGCTGGTTCTTGCGACCCAGGCTGGCAAATCACTACCCGTTCAGCAGAACCGGTCCGAACTAGTAGGAATCCAACACTGATGGAAACTACCGTATTTTTCAGAGTATAAGATGCACCAAGATTTTGAAGAGGCAAAAAAAAAAAGTTTTTGCACTCTACAGACCTCCCCAAAACGGCGCATTTTTCATGAAAACAGGCCTATTTTTTGTCAAAAAAGGGAATGCATAGCCTTTAGAAGGCTTATAGAGTGCTCCTGGGGGCTGGGGGGGGGCAAAAACAAGCAAAAGCCCCAGGAGCAATCTGGAAGCCTCCTACAGTAAGGTGACCAGACATCCCACTTTTGGCGGGACAGTCCCGATTTTTAACAATTTGTCCTGCATCCCGCGGCGTTTTAAAAAAGTCCCGATTTTTGTATAAATAACCGAGTTGCATAGAAGTCACACACCTTGTTGGAATGGCAGCCTAAGTAAGTAATCCGAAGCATCGGGCAGGAAAGGGCAAGACTGTTAGCTGTGAAAGAGGGCCAGGGAGGGAGGGAGAGATGGGGATGAATGGTCATACGCGATTTGCACCGAGTGGCGCTCACCCAGGGTACTTTAGTAGGAGCTGGGTTTTTCCCCACCTTTCAGTTGTATTAAAATAATAATCCTGGGAGACTTTTGAGGGGTTTGCAAAACGGATAGCAATTTGCTAGGAAGAGGGGGAAAAAAATCCATCCCAGATGGCCCGATCAGCAGAAGGCTGGTTCACTTGCAAGCCGCGATCATTTTGCACCTGGGAGGAAGTGCTTGCTTGGCTTATGTGCCGCCGGCAAAGGGTGGGTGGGTTCCGTGGGCGGAGAACGGCCAAGCGAGCAGCCAGGTGTGCGGGATGTCGGCCGCGTGCCTCTAATATCCTAGGCCGGTCACACACAGGTGCGAGGAGCACAAGTGTGGTGCGAGGAGCACAAGTGTGACACGATTGCTGGATGTGCCGGGCGGAGTGAAAAAGGTGTGCGCGGGAGCGGCTGCTTTGCCTAACTCGCTTGTTAAGGAGTAGGCTTGGATTGTCTGGGACTCTGCCAAGTTCAAGCTTTGGTTGGGGCTTTTATCAGGTTAGAACCTCGTCGAAGTGGTGGGGGGTGAAAAGTGGGTGGGTGGAAGGAAGGAGGGGAGACTGGTTTGCCACCGCCTTGCAGTAGGCTATGAATTAGGGTACAGTACTGCAGACCACTTCAGCTGACTGTTATCTGCAGTTCAGTGGTTCAAATCTCACCGGCTCAAGGTTGACTCAGCCTTCCATCCTTCCGAGGTGGGTGAAATGAGGACCCAGACTGTGGGGGCAATATGCTGACTCTGTAAACCACTTAGAGAGGGCTGAAAGCCCTATGAAGTGGTATATAAGTCTAACTGCTATTGCTATTGCTATTGACAATTGTTTATAACAAATTATGTCTGTATATAATAATGATAAACAGGAAAATTCAGCCTCCATTGTTGATAGGCTAAGGTGTTTTTGCCTAATAGACCTCCATCCAATTAGTGCTATACATAAAAACACAGCAGTACCAGAAGTTGACTTCCGTGTATTAAGATCTGTGGTAAAAATTGCATCAACATAGGATGACAACCTAAAATCATCAGTAGGTTCTAGATACAAC